TACTTCCGTAGTGATACTGCCTCGGAAACCCAAGGAAGGGTCGCTATGAGTCGGGGCCGACTCGACGGCACATAACAACAACAACAACAACAATGCACTTCAGTTCCCACACAGACTGGGTCAAAGAAAAACAGTGTAGGAGAGGTGCCCAAGCCAAATCCAATGCTCACTAAAGCTGGGCCCTCATATCCTCAAAGTGCTTTGAGAGAAAAGCCCTAGAAGAGAAAGGTGCTGCTGGCCTGTGTCCACTCAGGAAGGGACCACACAGAATCACTGGGTCTTCTTCTGCTCAATCCATGCCTCTCGTCTCAGTTTCCATATCTTTTAACCTCCCTAACATCCTCTCCTAAGGAGACCTGAGGGTATAAACATCATCTTAAACCAAGGTACCTTTGGTTCTGTTAAGTGCCAGCCACTTCAATTTAATGCTGCCACCTCCTTTCTGGCTTCTCTTTCAGGTTGCAGCTGTAATCCCTGCAGGCATTGTTGTTGTTATGTGCCATCGAGTCAGACCTGACTCATAGCAACCCCATAAAGAGCCTGGGTTTCCAAGGCAGTATCACTATGGAAGTAGATTGCCCCATCTTCCTTCCAAGGAGTGGCTGGTGGGTTTGAACCACCAGCCTTCTGGTTAGCAGTCAGATGCCTTAGACACTATGCTATCAGAGCTCCTCTGAAGGCATTAGTACTACCAATATCAGGATTCTCCTAAAATGTCCTAAAATGCCGGTCAATAACCACTGGGGAAGGTCTCTGAGTCAGCAGGGAACAAACAGAAATGACAGCAAAAGTAGGGGAAAAGGTAGGAAGCAGCCACTTAGACATTTTCTTGCCATTTGGGAAGTTGAGGCTTTTCTTATCTGGAAGCCTTCTAGGCAAGGGTGTGTGTGTGTGTGTGTGTGTGTGTGTAAGAGAGAGAGGATGCAAAGAGAGAAAGAGGAAGGGGAAAGACCAGGGCAGGTCTGGAATAATGGATCCCATAAGCAGGGAGTAGCATTTGGTCCTGAAGTTCTTAGGGCTGATTCAGCAGTACATAAATGGAATATAACAGTACGTAGATGAGATGTGAGCACCTGACTCTTCCCACCAGCCACCTTTATCCTGAAGTTGCATAAGGACAGACTCTGGCCAGCTGTCATCTATTTTGCCTGAATCTTGAGCAAGCAAGATATGTCTGCCTAGTAAGACAGTTAGAAACAAGGAGCAGAAAGGCTGGCCCATCTGTCCACAAAATAATAGGCAACGTCAGTTTAACAGTTAGCATTGGGGGCTTCAAGGGTTGTCTTCATCCCAGAATTAACCAAGAGCCCTCCAAGGAGTGAGTATTCAACCACCTTATCCCTAAGATATTTCCATGCTGGTGGAATCCCCCAGGATCCTGGGAAGAGAAAAAGAAATGAAACATGAGCGGAGTAGGATGGCTTCATCCTTGCTGAGGAAGAGCTTTGAGGTCCTCAGCTGATGGAGCCCTGACAGTGTCCATGGAATTATCAAGAAAGGGGCATCAGGAGTCCCTGTCAAGATCCTGGCTAAGCTTCAACTGAACCCCTCTGCACTCCTAAAAAAAAGCCACACTGAGGGATGTTCCAGGGAGACAGTCTGTTTATTTTAGCCAATAGATCCAAGCATAAGACAAACTACAAAAGAAACAATCTGCTCCAAAAAGCAGATACACCACAGCAATTAGACCACATAGAATCATTTAAGTCTCTCTTCCCACCACCCCTTCCAACCACCACATAGCACATAAAACCTAGAAAGTGCATATGTAGTTGGGCTTTCCCCTTGAAGTGCACAAAGAGCAATAAGAACATTCCAGAATTTGCCTTTGGTGAATCAACTCAAAACATTGAGAAATGTTTACCCTCTCCCCCTCAAAAGGTAACTTTTGGGATAAGTGTAGTGAGATGTTTTATATTTGTATATATAATATATCTGTATCTATATATAGACTATGTACAAATGCAACAGCAAGCTTCAATAAAGGAAGACATCAGCAAGAGGCAGAAAATATTTTAAAGCACAGGCTATCTATCATTAAGACATAACTAGGAAGGGAAATTTCTTGATTCATCAGCCATTTCAATCCGCACCAAGCCATTCCCATGGCCTGGAACTATCTATCCCTTTGGACCTGGCTGGTATTCTCAGTTGTCCATCACTAAGCCTAACCTTTGTAAATAGTTACCAGCCCAGTCTCCCCAAAAAGACCCACAGGGAGAAATATGGATCCAATCAGGTTTTCCCTTTTATAAATTAGGATAACTGTGATTAATCCATAGCTAGGGAGCAGATATCTATTTCCAAAGCCAATTCCAAGGCACCTCAAGGCATTTCAGTCCTGAAAAAATTGTGCTTTGTTCTTATAAGCTAAGTCCCATATTTGCCAGCCCATCTCTCTGTACCATGGCACTTAACTAGGGGCAAGAGACAGATAAGGGATCTGAGAGAGCAGGAGAGGTAGGGAAGGTTGAGAAGCCAGCAGACTGAATCTGGCAGAGTGCAGTGGTGGAAACATGCAGCCAAAAATGGGGCTCAAGCCCCACTGCGCAGAAAGAGGATCGGCTTGCTGGCTGGCGTATGCTACAAAGCAAGGGAAGAAAATGGCTGCTGTGGCAACATCTCACTTGTTTCCCATCTCTCCTCACGGAAGCCCCAATTTGCTCTCAACCTCACTGCCCTGGGGGAGGCAGCTCTATGAGACCTTGGGAGGAGATTGTAAGAGGCTGGAGGAGAAAGTGCATATGAAGGTGGCACCTAGGGCAAAGGTGGCTCCTGACCCATCCCCAACTGCCTGGGACCCTGAGGACATGGAGAAACATGGCTTTCCCTAGGACACCCTTAGTAAGGGCAGAGGAAGGAAAGAGTGCAGAAGTCCTGGGCTTCTTAATGGAGAGTTAGGACTTCTTCAAATGAACCTAGGGAATCTTGCAACTAACTCTCCTAAATGTCATGAATACTGGAAAAAGAATAATTCCCAAGATCAGTGTAGATCCTCATTCAACCTGGGAGGGGAGACATTTAAGAGGTTGCCAAAAGATGCAACCTGCAAGCTTCAGACTATAGACAACCATCCTTGGTCTCAACTGGCCTGAGGTGCCCCACCCAGCTCTCCTTTCTCAGCTGGTTGTCTGGAAGGATGGGCTGTGTCCACCTGCTCCAGGCATTCTGGTGGCTTAGCCCACCCCATTGGCAGTGTGTTGATTGGCAGTTAGGTTCTGAACGAAAGAGTTTAGAATTTCCAGATGAGCTGAACTCCCATCTCCCAAGAGCCATCTGGCTGGTTGCTCATTCTCCACGTTCCCTAGGCCCAGCCTCTGCACTCTCTTCTGTTTTATCTTCCTTCTAGCCTCCTTTTCTGCCCTTCTCAGGGCCCAGACTCTGGAATCCCTTCTCCACCCACTCCAGCCTCACAAGCAATGGCTACAGAGGTGGAATTAGATGCACCAAAAAAAAAAAAAAAAAAAACCTAATCTTGGTCCCCACAGAGCTGACCTGGCAGTTCCCAACTCTGTTATGGCTTTATGTGTGTCTCCGGCACCCAGCCCGTGCCTGGCACATAGCAAATACTCAATAAATGGGTGTTGAAGTGAATTAAATTGAATCTCCCTTGCACTACTGCTACCTCCCCAAATAGGCTATATGTTGGGCAGAGTCAAGGATTGGTCCCTGAGACTGTCACAGTCCTGTCTCCACCCTCTGCCCCTACACTTACTCCCTGCCCAGGATGCTAACTTCTTAAGCCAGGGGTAGGGGCTGAGCTTACCTGGAAAGGCTGGAAGTGCTGAAGAAGCTCAGCCTAGAGAATGAATGGGGCATGGTCAGCAACTCTGCCCTCTCACCTTCATCACTCAGCCCTGCCTCAGCCACAGCCTGGAGGGCCAGGGCTCCTGGGAAATGAGTTCTTGGTCTGGAAAAGCCCACCTCCTTCACCTCACCTCCCTCATCTACCAGTCCAGAGAGGCCCCTCCCACTGGAAAAAACTATGGCTATGTTGATTCAAACCAGAGACTGAGAAGCTAGAGGAGAAAATGGCAGGAACCTCAGATTCTGTCAGTTGCAACCTCAGCTTTCCCATCTAATGTGAGTGATTTGGCTCGTTGATATCAGAGGGTCTTTCAAGGTAGTGTTCTCTGAGTCAGCAGTTCTCTCTCTCTCTCTCTCTCTCAGCTTAAATAATTCCTTTTTAATGTGGGTAAAATGGCAGTGAAAGTTGACTCCCCATGTCTGGCTTTCTTCTCCACAAAAGGAGTTACTGAGGCAGGGGAGTAGGTAATGCAGCTCCAGATGTAATATGACCCCAGGATGTAGGAGGTTCCAGGTCTGCCTCTCATTCTTCCCTCAGGGTGTTCCCTGAGTATGAGTCCCTGCTCTCTAGCCCACTGAAAACCCTACTGAGGACAGGTAGGAGAGTCCATACTGAACCCCTAGATGAAGCTGCCTCCATTCTGCACAGCAGCTCCTCTGCCTGGTCTCCACTCTGCTTCTCATTTCTGAACCTTGTCTGCTCCTACCCAGGCTGACCGTGGCCATCTTGTTTGAGGAAACAATGGAGCCTCTACCCTTTCAGTACCTCATCTGATTTTGTAATGAGTCTCCTGTTGATAGGTAAGTATGGTAGAACATGACCACTACCTGGAACAACACAATCTACCCACAGCCTAGCTTAGCTGCTCTTCCAGTACTGATTGCCAGCGAAAAACCAAGAGGCTTCTGTTGTAGCAGCTATCAATGGAAAAGAGGGTCAGAGCAGAACTCCTAGGGGCCAGTCTTGTCTCCAGCTTTGCCTCCAGTCCCAACTTCCCCTCAATGCCCCAGAAATTCACAGTAGTCCCCTACCCTACATTACAGGAACCCATCACCACCCCCAGCCTGCTGGGAGCAGTCAGAGAAGCATAGTCATCCCACCCAGGGCCTTCTTGAATCCACTGCCAAGCACTGGGCAGACTGAGCAGCTTATCCCTTCCTCCATCACACCCACCCTCACCCCTTCTCTCTTTGGGGCCTTCACACATGCCCCCGGCCTCCTCTCAGGGACTGGCAGGTTTGAGCCCCATTCCCCCACCCCAGGGCCTACGTGTCCCATGGGTCACGGCAGATTTCTGAGATGAAAGAGAGGTGGGTCACTCTTGGTGCAGGGTGGGGGGGTGAGAAGTGAGAGGCTCGGAGGCCCAAGGTTGGCACTGGGATCCTGGTCAAAGAGAAGCACACCAAGAGAGGGCAGGTGGGGTTGCACTGTACAGGGCAGAGTGGGAGGGAGATAGGACACAGGGGAGGGCAACAGGCTGGGGGCTCCCGCCTGTTACTTGGTGCCATCATCCGCGTTGCCCTCGCCGTCCGTCTTCCCCTCCTCCTCAGTCTTCAGATCATCGGTGCTCAGTTTCTGTTCTTTTTTCCTCCGTACACACTTGACCACCATCAGCACCAAGATGACCACAGCCAGGAAGCCCCCCACCGAGGCACCCACGATCACTGCCACTGTGGAATCCCGCTCAGGGGGCTCTGGAGAAGGAAATGAAACAGATCCCTTGAGCATGGGCCTGCAAAAGGGGGTCTCCTGCACTGTACCCCCATACTCCCATGTAGTGTGTGGGGTGATCCTGACTTTACTCTCCTCCATGGAACAGATTTTGTGGTTGTTATGTGCTGCCCCAACTCATAGCGACCCCTCCTTGGGTTTCTGAGGCGGTATCGCTACAGAAGTAGATTGCCCAACCTTCCTTCCGAGGAGTGGCTGGTGGGTTTGAACCACCCTTCTAGTTAGCAGTCAAGTGCCTTAGGCACTACGCTACCAGAGCTCCCATAGCCTCCCCCAAAGGGGCTTGAGCTAATGATGCTGGAGAGTGGCTGGGTGGGAAGGTCCAGGGCCCCTAGAAGCCAGGCCCCTCAGCTCTGCCCACCTTCCATGAGGACCTGCAGGTAGATCCTGCCGTGGCCACGGTGGCGGTCTGGTGGGTTCATGATGTAGCAGTTGTAGATGCCTTTATCCTCAAGCTGCACATTTTTCAGCGTCACTGACACGTCATATTTGCTGGGGTTCCCTGAGAACTCCACACGGTCTCGAAACTGCTCTGGCTTCAGGTTAATGATCTTCATGCGGAACTGGAGGAACTGGGGCATGGGGCAAAGGGCAGGCCATGCTGGGTAGCTAGTCAAGCAAGAGCTGCAAGGACAGTGAGGATGCTCCCTCCTCCCGCCCACCCTCAAAGCCATCCCTTTACCTGGGAATGTAGTTACCTCCAAAGGCCAACCTCCTTCACCCCAGCCCAGGGCCACCCCAGTGTGGCACCCCACCTTTTCCCAAAGCCCTCTGGCACAGACAGGCCACCCAGAGCATCTGAGGTCCTGGTCCAGTGCAGGGGCAGGTGGTGAAAAGGTGGGCTTCCATTCTGGCTCCTGCCCACCCTTCCCCTCCACCCCAGGACTTACCATCTCCTCAGAGCAGTTATTACACTCCTGGTAAGTCCAGTTCAAGGAGAACTGCTTGTGGTTCACTGTGTAGCAGGAGTTGAAGGTGCAGGGCAGGCGGGCATCAGAGCCATTGAGGACATTGAGAATGGAGGGGACCATGACCTCCATGCTCCGCCCTGGTGGCACTGCAGACAAAGCCATAACTGGTGAGGATTCAGGGAGGGGTCAACTTTCTGTACCCAGTGGGAGTGGAGGAATGAGGCAGGGCGGAACTATGGGCAATGGGCTGGGTCCCTTACCACTGAAATTAGTGAGGGATTGGGGTGGGGTACCACATGTGGCCCTGGGGTAAAGTGGGGGTGGGTAGAGGAAGGTTAGGGGTAGAGAAAGACCAAATCATCTGTCCAGCCAGGGACAGCAAAATGGCTCCCAACTTTTTCTAGAACCACTATTAAGAAGCTCCCCCTCCAACCTGGCTGTCTCATCCTAACCCTGACACTTGCTAGCTGAAAACCCTGCACAGGGGTTTCACTGTACTGGGCCTTAGTTTGCCCCTTCTTCCCCACCACTTCCAATCATCTTTGCTGAGCCCAAGCAGCCTTGGGGATGGATGGAAACTCGGAAGGCCTTGTGCTCCATGCCACAGGGCTAGAGCAAAGCAGAGGGTCCAGCTCAGACTCCCAGGCTTCTGGCAGGCAGGGAAGAGGGCACATGGGTGGGAGGGGGTGACCCAGAAGAAAGGGCACAGCTCCAAGGACCAGCTCCTACAGGCATAGGAGTTCCTTTTGGAAATGTAAGCCAGGATCAGCAAGACCCCAGCAAGGAGCCGGTATATGCTGATGGGGTGGTGGGATAGGAACAGCATACTTCCAGGCTTCCGTGGAAACTTATAAGAGGCACCAGACTTGGGCCAGGAGGCTGGCGTGCTGGGCCTAAGAAAAGCCTGTCACATTCTGGTCATTTAAGCAGGGCCAGAACATTGTGAGGCTTGTGGGGTGCAAAACTTAAGAAGGCACCCACACTCAGAGTCATGCAGATATCTCCTTAAATTTTGGGTCCTAGGTGCCTCCCTCATCTCACCCTAGACTGGGCCCTATGTCTAAGTTTCTCTGCCAATCGTATCAAAGGCCAGTTCCAAAAGACCCCCTCTTAGCTTAATTTCCTTTATAGAGGCTAAATAGTCACGTTCCACATCAATCATTCATTCACCAAATATTTCTAAACAACCCACTAGGTGCCAGGCACTAGTCCAGGCCTTGGGGATTATTGCTATAAACAAGACAAGCAGTGTCAGAGCTTTTGTCCTAGTGAGGTGGACAGACATCAGCAAGTAGAAAATAATGAAATCATTTCAGGTAGTGAAACATGACAAGTGCTATAGGAAATAAAGAAAGGTGAAGGAGTGCTATTTCATATAGGACAGTCAGGGAAGGCTTCTCTGAGGGAAACAGACAATGCCTGAGTAAAGCTAGGGAGCAAGCTACTTGAAGTTTTAAGGAATTCGAGTCCCACCGCAGAGGGAAGAGCATGGGCAAGGTCCCAGTGGCTGGGCTGAGCTTCAGGTATCTGAGGCAGAAGGAACAGAGTGGTCAGGGGACAAATGATGAAACCTGGGGTCAGAAAGGGAGGCAGGGACCAACTCACAGAGGGCCTTGTAGCCTAGAGCACAAGGTTCCCAGGTTTATCCCAAGTGTGACAGGAAGTCAAAGTACAGCTTGGGGGCTGGGGGAGGGGCATGACTAATGGATATTTTTGGACACTCCTCTAGCTGCTGAATAGAGAAGAGACCTGAAAGGAATTGAGGGAGGGAGACAGGTGGGACAGTGGGACAAGTGGAGGTGTGAGACCAGCTCGGAGGCGCTGTACAGTTTGGGGAGAGTCATAGCTCTTGATACAGAAATAGCATACACAAGAGGATCTGATCGATTTGGGTTCCATCCCAGCTTTGCCATCAGTCAACTAGGAGAACCTGGGCATGCTCTTTAACCTCTTTCCACCTCAGTCTCCTCCTCTGTGAAACACAGACGACAACACCTACTTCCCAGAGTTGTTCCCATAATTAAATAAGGTCACAGACATAAGAATGCAGTCTCTGCCCAGCAGTAAGTGCTCAACAAAGGGTAACCATGATTTTCCTAAATTCTCAAGTTCTGCCTCGAAAACAGGAAGGGCTTCTGGGGGCATCTCATTGCCCGAGGGCACCCTGGAGACTGACCCCTCAATGCCAGACCAGTTGTTGTCCAATCGATTCTGACTCATGGTGACCCCATGTGTCACAGAGTAGAACTGCTCCATAGGGTTCTCTTGGCTGTAGTCTTTACAGAAGCTGTTCACAAGGCCTTTCTTTCACTACAACTGCTGGGTGGGTTTGATCCTCCAACCTTCAGGTTAATAGTCAGGAGCAAGCCATTTGTGCCACCTGGGGATCCCCTGCAAGGCAGCCCCCTGGAATTCCCCCAGATCTGGCAAATCAGCCCAGCCAAAGGCAGGGGGAGGGGGAATCCTCTTCAGGACCTATTTTTCAAATTGTTTTGTTGCCAGATGTTGCAGCAGCATCTGGACTGCATCCTGGAAGCAGGATACTCAAAGCCTACTCAGCCCCTCCCCTGGGACAAGTGACCAGGGGAATTTGCAGGACTTGAGAACAGAAAGTGCTCTAAACTGCTGGCCCTGGACTTCTCAAGGAGCCCTAGATTAGGGATAAGACTTCAGGTCCCACATGAAAGGCCAAGCATTCCAGAGGCACATTGGTGTTCTCTAGGGGACTAAGACGATCTGGGTACCTGAGTGGGCCCACCAGGAAGAACAAAGCCCGGTTCCCACCTCCCACACTTTCTTATCCATCATGAAAGCACCTAGCACAGTGCCAGGCAAGGAGGAGGTGTGTAGAAATACCAATACCACCCCCACTCTGCAGAGGCAAAGAAAGCTGCAAGGGAGGTGCCTGACAGGGCCTTGTCCTGAGCTCACCTCATATCCCAGAAACACCCTGCTTCTCTAAGCCTTCCCAGGCCCCCCTCTAACCTAAAGCAGTCGCCAAGTGACACCTGGAAGAAGTAAGTGGTCTCTGCATCTTGCCTGACCCTGTGAATTCAGATCCATCCCTGGCCTCTCCCCCTCCCCAGTCCCCTGGAAGCTCTCAGGATTAGAACTTGAACCCCACAGAGCTTCCTGCTCCTGGCCTCCTTTCATCTTGAAGGAGCCACATCCTGTCATGTGTGGAAGGACAGAGCAGAGTAGAGCCAGGACTGTGTCTCTTCTAGGGTGTGGCAGACCCAGCAAGCTTTCAATACCAGCTTTTCCCCCAGGGCAGTTTGGGCCCTGCACTGAGGCACTAAACAGTAGACACGTGTGCCCTCTAGTGGGCAAAGAGGTCCAATGCAAGTCTCACTGCTGGGAAAGGAATGCAGGGAATCACCAAATGAGAAGCCAGAGCTGGGAGGGAGCTGAGAATTGTGGCTTTGGCCTGGTTGTTGTACCAGAGGAAAGCAAGGCCCCAAGAGGGCCATGGAGAATAAATAAGGACCAGCTAGGACCAGAACCATGGGTTCCCGAGTCCTAGTCCAAGTTGCCCACTTCAGCTTCTTCATCCCAGAGACCTTCCACCTAGTCCAGCCCCTCAGTGTATCTTTTCAGAAGAAGAAACCCAGCTCAGCAAGATTAGATGACTTGCTGGCAATGTCACAGCTGTGAGACCAGTTCTGACCCTTTGATTAACTCTTGCTTCAAGAAAATAGCTAAATCCACAGCAAGGGCCACCGACCACCCACTGCCACTGAGTTGATTCTAATTCATAGCAATCCTATAGCACAGGGCAGAACAGCCCCAGAGGGTTTCCAAGGCTATAAATCTTTATCTTTGGCACCTAAAAACAACAAATCTTTGTGGAAGTAGACTGTCTCATCTTTTGCCTGCAGAGCAGCTGGTGGGTTTGAACTGCCAATCTTTTGGTTAGCAGCCGAATGCCATAACCACTGTACTACCAGAGCTCCTCAGGGCCACAAAAAAAAAAGACTTCTTAATAATGGCAAACTCTTGTAACATGCTTTCTATGTGCCAGTCAGTATTCAAGCACTCTGCATGTACTAGCTTGTTTAATACAAAAAATTCACTGCCATCAAGTCGAATCTGACTCACAGAGACCCTCTCCTTGGGTTTCCGAGGTGGTATCACTATGGAAGTAGATTGCCCAACCTTCAAACCAGTTGCCATGGAGTTGACTCTGATGATTGGCAACCCATGTACGTCAGAGTGGAACTGTGCTCCATGGGGGTTTCAATGGCTGATTTTTTGGGAGTAGATCTCCAGGCCTTTCTTCAGAGGCACTTCTGGATGGACTTAAACCTACAAACTTTCCTTTAGCAGCCAAAATGCATTAACTGTTTGCAGTAGCCAGGTTTAATGAAACTCCAGTTTTCCAGAAGAGGAAATTGAAGCACAAATAAATTAAATGAATAGCCCAATTCACAGCTCATAAATACCAAAGTTAAAATTTTAGCCCAGGCTTCCTGGCTTCAGACAGAGGGGTAGAGGGGTAGAGGTTGGGGTGGGGAGGTGATTGTCATTCCAAGGTGACCCAGGGGCCAGATCTCCTGCTGTCTACATTGCAGGCCCAGCCCCATAACCAACAGCAGGGGATTGGTCTTGTTTAAGGACACTCCATATAAAGGAGAGCCCACAGTCTTCCTGGTTGTCCCATTTGGGACCAGGCCTGCAATGCTAATCCTTTGATTTCCAACTGACAGAAAGGAAATGATGAGAAACAGGGGAGCAGTGAGGATGATTTTTGACCTTAGTTTCAAATCATCACCAGTGCCAGCGCCCATGCCTCATGGCAGGCAGGTCTGGCCCCTCTGGCCCCATGTCATCCACCAGCTCCTCTGACAGAGATCAGAAAACTTGCTCATCTCCTTGCCAAAGCTGGGAGTCAATTTTCTTCACTTCTCTTTCCAATCCCACAGCAACCCTACGAGGTAGGTTTGTTTTCTCCTTGATTAAAAAAAAGGAAAGAAAAGGAAAGGAAATGAGTCTAAAGCAGAGAAGCCCTCTCCCAGACATTTGGAGCACATCATCTAGGCAGCCCCTGCCTCCCAGGGTGAGTGGGACACCCAGCCCTCACTCCTCACCTGTCTTGCCTCACTGTTCAGGCCCTCCCCATCCTGGACCCTCCCCTCCCACACCAGTTCATCCCCCAGGCAGCCATGAGAGCAACCGGTCTGAAACACTGAGCTGAACTTGTCACCCTTTACCCCCAAACCTCTGCTGGCTCCCTGCTGCTTTCAGGATCAAGTCCAAGAACTTTGCAATCTGGTCCCAACCTACTGTCCTGGCATCACCTCCTGCCAGCTCCCATCTCTCCATGTATCTTCTACTCCAGTGACCCCAGAGTCCTTACTTCTCCTGAAAACAGTTCATTTTTTGGCTTTGGCTTCTCCATGCCTTTGCACACATTTCTCCTTTAGAATGGGAAGCTCATTCACTCTTCTCTACCCATGGCCTTCCTCTCAACTTGACATTATCTTATTTCAGCTTCCCCAGTGTCCTTGCTCTCTCCTCAGCCCTGTTCCTATCCCTCCCACATGACTTGGAAGCAGATGGTGCAGTGGCCAAGACCAGGGCACTAGTATCCTGGTCTGATCTTAGGCAAGATAGTTAACCCAGTACCTCAGTTTCCTCATCTATAAAATAAGTATGATAAACACACTAACCCACAGGATTGTAGTGAGGATTAAACAACTTAATGCATGCACAAAACATATATCAGAATAGTGCCCAACACATAATTGTTGTTGTTGTTATTTGCCGTCGAGTCGGCCCCGACTCATAGCGACCCCTCCTTGGGTTTCCGAGGCAGTATCACTACGGAAGTAGGATTGCCCAACCTTCCTTCCGAGGAGTGGCTGGTGGGTTTGAACCGCCAGCCTTCTGGTTAGCAGTCAAGTGCCTTAGGCACTATGCTACCAGAGCTCCCAACACATAATTAGCCCTCAACAAATGTTAGCTGCTATTATTATGATCATTATTACCGTTGTTATTATTATTACAGCACAGATGATGCTGTTTTGTAATTATTGATGTGTCTGTCTCCCTGGGATAATCTGGGGAACTATATCTTATTCATTTTGGTATCCCCCACACCTAGAAAAGTACTGCACACTTCCATAAAAGTCTGTTGAAGGAAGGGAAGGCACTTCCCCTCTGAGTCTGGGTTCCACCCCCAAGCAGCAGATAAGTGCAGTTGGCTTGAGTGAAGACCAAACAGTGGCCTTGGAATTGACTCTGACTTATGGTGACCCCATGTGTGTCAGAGTAGAACTGTGCTCCACAGAGTTTTCAATGACGATTTTCGGAAGTAGGTCATCAGGCCTTTCTTCTGACATGCCTCTTGGGGGACTCGAACTTCCAATCTTTTGGTTAGCAGGTGAGTGCATTAACTATGTGCACCACCCAGAAACTCCTGAGTAAGGACCAGACTCCACCTTCTGAGCCTTCCCTCAACATAACCCAGACTTTGGTAAGCAGGCCAGTGACTCCAGAGTCAAGGCCCCCTTAAAAGTCTTGAGAACTCTACAGATGCCCAATCGTTTGGATTGTTTCCAGCCAAAAACTAGTCACAGCCTTCTGTTATGTGCACAGGTTGCCAACCTGTCCCCTTGCCAACGTTGCCGCCTCTCCAGTCATCCCCACAAGTCCAAACCTTGCTGCAGCTCCTGCCTCATCATTTGTGATGTTCCTACAACCTAGTGACCAGGGCTAACAACACCAAAGATCCTTTGTCCACCTCGGTCTCTGGGGTGCAAGGAGCCTGCCTCATTACAGCACCAATCAAGTTCAAGGTCCTTCATTCCTGCATACTTCCCCTACCCAGGTTTGCAATGACTTAGGCTTCCTAGCATCATCACGACCCCACGTTCTGACCTCTTTGCCCGAGATTCCAAACCTCCTTCTCCTATCTCTATCTTCTCCTAAGCCACACCCTAGCCCAGGGCTCTAGGTCCCTTCTAGAACCCCCTCTCTTGCCTAACTTAGATTAGCCTTCCCCAAGGCCACCTCCCTCCCACAGGAAGTCCTCCCTAACTCCTTACACGCTGGTTGCCTGTCCTCCAGTCCCTGCTGTTTACACACAGGCCACTCACCTAACTTCCCCTTCTTTGCCTGCACAAGGCGATTCCTTGATCACTGTTAATATGACATTACTGTTTCTTGAACATTGGGGGCAGAAGAGTTCAGAGGTTAGGCCAATGTGCTGAAATCAAACAGGGGTTCAAATCTCAGCTCACCTTATCCTCATCATATGACCTTATTGAGTATGTTAATTTATCTGTGCTTCTGTTTCTTTGTCTTTAATACAGTATGAAGATAATAATGGCATCTATCTCATAAGACTACTGTGAGGACTAAAGCAAGATTCACAATGCTGGGGCATGTGAAAAGCATTCACAAAAGTTAGCACCTACTGTGTGCTGATTCACAGAAACCCCAGGCGGTGGATGTTCCTAACTCTTACCCACAAGAAAACTAAAGCGCAGAGGGGTTGAGTAACTTGCTTAATGCTCATTAAGTAAATGAGGGAGTTGGCTTTAAACCCAGGTCCATGGTTCATGGTCTTTCCACTGCCAAGGCTTCTGTAATAGTTTGCTCTGATGCTGGTGAACCAGTAACTCAGCAAAGCTAATAGGCCTTATCATGCAGGCTCCCAGCAGCTCTGCACTATCTCTATTTAGCACTTCTGACTAATCTCAGCATTGCACACCACAAAGGGAGACAGTCTTTGTGATGGGGTATATCCCACCTCCTCCTTGAACTTGACCCTCACTTGCTGCACCAGTAAAGAATAAGTTTAGGAGCAAGAATGAAACTACCTATAAAACAGGCTTACAAATAATTTGCTAGCCCACCCGCCCACCAGGAAGTCTACAAGTAGCTAAATATGAAATGAACATTTGGGACTACTTAACAGGGGTTCTGAGACATGGTCTTAAAAGTCCACAACCATGATCAGCCCATGCATTCCATTTAAAAAATTTTTTCTGAATCCCTTCACTTGACCCCTCTACCATTCCCTCTGACCTAAGGAGGGGTGCCTTCTCCATCAATGTCTGCTTGTTGGATCTCTTCTCAACCAAGGGACCCACTCCTCAAGCCTGCTCCCCATCTTGCTCCTATACATGTTCCAACAAACCAGGGATACGGTGCCAGGAAGCCAGACCCAGACTCAACTTTCTCCCCCCCACCCCAGCTCCGCGGCACACTCCAGTGCCCCAATTCCACCAGATACCAAGGAGCAAGGGTCACAAAAGAAGCCCCTTATGGGAGAATTAGATTAAGCCCTGGGACCCCACATTTGCAGCAGCTAAACAACAGCAGCAGCAATCCTTGCAGAGACTGCAGATCAATCCATCCTCTGCCCCACCTCCATCTAGGTCCACTTCAGGGAAACGCAAAGAAAAATCACCTCCTTTAGCAATTTCCACCCCCAAGCCACACTCAGATCCCCTAACCCAACATTTCTGCAACCCAAATAGTAACATTATTATTCAGTCCCCCGCAATGTCTGCCCCAGTCCCCCACACCTCCCTTCCCAAGGACATAGAAGGGAAGCTCCAGCAATGTCTCCTTTCCTGTCCCCTTCCCCCCATCCTTTTCCAGCTGTGGCAGTACTTCTGAACCCTTGGGAGCATGCAGATGTGCAGTCTAACTTACCCAAAGAGAAAAAGAGACTGAGCCCCGTGAGACTGAAGGCAGGGCGAGGTAGCCAGGCATCTCTGTGCATTTTCAGAGACTGAGCTGTTAGTCGGGTGGGGTATGGGAGAGGGTGATTTGAGGGGCCGAGGACTACAAGGGAGGAATGATTAGATGCTAAAAAAAAAATGCACGGATGTACTTCAAAGTCATATACAACATTAAGGAAGCTTTATTTCCATCTCTGTAATATGGCCGGCTTATATGTTGCTGCTAAAAAGAGCGAGTGTGTGTGTGTGTGTGAGAGAGAGAGAGAGAGAGACAGAGAGAGAGTGTGTGTATGTAAGAAAGAAAAAAGGGGGCTGGAGTAAATGTTGTGGTTAATGGATTTCAAAAAGCATGTGGGAGGGCATAAAAAATCTTCCTGAAAAGAATGAAGGTCCCAGAAATGTTTACTCTCTAAAACAAGAAATAAAGCAAACCTGCCTTTCTTCTCCACTACGAGATGATGGTTGGGTTTTGAAAAGTATTGGAAGAATCTATTTCTTTCTAAGCATTTCTAAGGGGTGGGTGTGGGTGGGGAGGGTGTTATTTATCATTTTAAAACTCCAAAAATTAATAAATAAATAAAAAAGACCAAAAGAGGAGAGGCTTGTTTTTGTGTTATTTGGAAAAGTTTCAGGGAAGTGAGTTGGGGAGACTCTCAGGAAGGACTCGTTGTTCTAGCCTGTCCACTGAAAACAGAAGGTGTCAAAGCAGTGGGGTGGAAAAACAACTCAGAGAGCTTACAGTCCAATGTAATGCGACACTTTTGAGGATCAAAATAAATCAACAGTGAAAAGACATTTTAAGAGACTTGGGAAAAAATAAATTTAGACTAAAAAAAAAAAAAACCTCGCTGCCATCGAGTCAGTTCAATTCTTAGTGACCCCTCCTTGGGTTTCTGAGGCAGTATCTCTACAGAAGTAGATTGCTCAATCTTCCTTCAGAGGAATAGCTGGTGGGTTTGAACCTCCAGCCTCCTGGTCAACAGTCAAATGCCTTAGGCCCTACACCACCAGAGCTAGGTATTAGACAATGTATTAAGGAGCCATTCTTTGGTTCTGTAGTGCCTAAGGCATTTGACTGCTAACCAGAAGGCTGGCAAACCCACCAGCCACTCCTCGGAAGGAAGGTTGGGCAATCTACTTCTGTAGATTGCCTCGGAAATCCAAGGAGGGGTCGCTATGAGTCGGAATCAACTTGATGGCAGTGAGTTTAATAAAAGTTTAATGAAAGTATTATAGTTACGTTTTTAACATCTTTATCTGTTATGAGCTACACAGAAGTGTTTATAGATGAAATTATATGACTGGAATTTGCTTTAAAATATGCCAGGAAAAAGAAAGGGTGGGGGAGAAAGTCAATGAGGCAGGACTGGCCACTGCTGTTGTGTTTGAAGCTGGTAATGGATTTGGGGGTAAGAGGGTAGGTGTGTTCATTACATGGTTTTCTCTTGTTTTGTGTTAGTTTGAAATTTTTTCTTTTGAAAGAAAAAAAAAAAAAAAGGCTATGTCACCCATAGGAGAACTTGGGATGGAGTCCAAGTGGCTAAGCAGAACACAGATTCTCAGGTAGCAATCACATGCTTTGTGATGGGCAGGACATTTATGCACCAAACAGGGAGCAAGCAGGATTTTTGAGCATTAACTCTACGGCAAGTGCTTTATGTATGGCATTTCACCTAATCTTAACAACCTTTGTTGTTTAGCTGCCTTTGAGTTGGGCCCAACTCCATGCACAACAGAAGGAATCGCTGCCCGGTCCTGAGGCTTGATTGACTGTGGATTGCACCATCGTGATGCACAGGGTTTTCACTGGCTGATTTTTGAAAATAAAGCACCAAGCATTTCTCCCTAGTCAGTCTTGGTCTGGAATCTCCACTGAAACCTATTCAGCATCATAGCAACACATAAGCCTCCACTGACAGACAGGTGGTAGCTGCATGAAGTGCATGAGCTGAGCTGGGCATCGGTCCCAGGTCTCCAGCATTTAACAACCCTGGAACAGGTGAGTTCCCTTCCTTCTTTCCTCCCTCCCTCCCTCCCTTCCTTCCTTCTGTCTTAATTACAAATGAGGAAACAAAGACTCAGAGCTTAACCCATGCAAGTTTATAACATATATAGTAGTTAATGGCAGACCCAAAACCAGGGTTCAAATAGGTCTATGTGGTTCAAAAAAAAAAAAAAAATGAAACCCTGGGGTATTTCCAGGATTCCACATTGCTTATCATCAAGGAGCTGATGATAAAAACCTTCTACCCCAGGGTTGCTTTTCTAGTAATATATCAGACAGTGTTTCACTGCTATTCATGTTTTCACTGGCCAATTCTCTGAGAAGTGGATGGGGCCCTTCCTTCTTTCAAGTCTGTCTTAGTCTGGAAGCTCTGCTGAAACCTGCCCACTATGGGTTACCCTGATGGTATTTGTAATACCGGTGACATAGCCTCCAGCCTCACAGCAACACAGGTTGTTTACAGAGGAGCTGAGAAGAGAAGGAATGCAGATGAAACCATTAGACTCTGTGAAGATTTATAAGATAGTGTTAGAGGGCTGGGTGTGGAAGAACAAAACACACAGTGCTAGCTCTAGATGACATTCAACACACAGGTGATGAATAGTGCCCAGGGGTAGGCCTGAATGAATTAATGAATTGTGAGAGTGAATAGGGGGAAAGTAGACTTTAAGAAGGAACCTGCAGAAAGCTGTTCTAAGCTGGGAAGGAGCAGCATGGGCCAGAGCTTCGCAGAGAACTGCCTGAAGGCAGAGGGTGGACAGGGCTGTCTCTGGTTTTCCACCACATCAGAGACAGTTGTCCACACCTGGATCATGCACAGGCCTGGTCTCCAAAGAACACAGAATGCACAGCTCCTAAGAGGGAAAATCAGGGAAAGAGGATAGTGTCCTCCCTGGCCACGGCCTGGCTCCTTCCCCATCACCTGCAGGCCCGGAAGCTTCCTCCACCATCAGCAGCTGCCCAGCTCACCTGGTATGCCTGGAAGGGCAAACTGCAGGCCTTGCCAGGTCCCAGTCTGCAGCACTTTCTCGCCCCCTTGCTGCCGCAGCACATGTCAACCCAAGTGCCAGAAATTTTTGGTTTGACATTGCCGGCCTCCTTCTTTTTCTAAATGCAGCCCAGGGTGCCTGTGAGGCCCTGAAATTGAAGGAAACCACTAAGTCATCTCACACTGGGTCCAGAAGTTTCTATCTTGGGGGCGTATGAGGCAAGAAATAGGCTCAGAAATTCCCCTGCTTCTACCTTTGTTTCCAAGAACAGCAAAGTATACAGTTTTATAACAGACCAGCTTTTGTTGAACTCAGCCCTCCAAGAACTGTGATAGTAAAGGCTGTGTGGGCCTTAATCAACCTGGCTGGGCCATGATTCTCAGTGGTTTGGCAGTTGTGATGTAGTCATCCCCCATGGTAAGATCTGATATTATGTAATCACCTCCATGATGAGATCTGCTATGAGCAGCTAGTCAGTTGGAAGAGAGTTCAGGGGTGTGGCCTGCATCCAATATAAATCGACACTCTGGCAAAGCTCTTAGGCTATTTCCTTGATCTGGGTCCTGCACCTGGCTCATCAACATCTGACCTCAAGTTCTTTGGACTTGAGCTAGCCACCTTCCCTCTTGCCTGCTGATCTTGGATTCGTCAGTCTCTGTAGCCCATAAGCCTGCTGTCTGCCCTGATGATCTTGGGTTTGTCAGCCCTTACAGCTATGTGAGACAGGAGAAGCCTCCACCCTGACATCTGACCCATAGACTCTAGACTTGCCAGCATCTACAATCACATGAGCCCTTTCTTTGAGATAAATCTCTCTCTCATCTATCTATCTACATAAAAGCTTCACCGGTTTTGGTTCTCTAGAGAACCCAGCCTAAGATAATGACCAAGGGTCAGAAGGAGCTGGATCAGGGGCAAGAGCCCCTGACACGATGAGGCAGGTGGAGAGCTGCCACAGAAACTCCCTACAGTCCACTTTGGGCCTGTTGTTGTTGTTGTTATGTGCCATCAAGTCAGACCTGACTCATAGCAACCCCTCCCTGGGTTTTCAAGGCAGTATCACTACGGAAGCAGATTGCCCAACCTTCCTTCTGAGACTTTGGGCCTAGAGTTGCCCATTTGCTCCAAAAGACAAAGCCTTCCCAAGGAATCAAGCAAGGGCTGGGAAGCAGGTACTCAAAAAGGAGGTTTACAGAATGGAGACACCAATATCAAGGGTGGGATATTTTGGGAGTGAAGTCTTACAGCTTTGGCATTTCTTTCTGGTACCATTTATCACTGGAGATTTTATTAGACAACATTTGATCATCTATTCTGCTGGGACAAGCAGTGTTATGAGTAATCCAAAGGAAAATAGTTTATTTTGTGTAGTTGAGGCTGCAGAGAGTCTTCTCAGACAGATTTGCCTTAGACTGCCTTCACTTCTCAAAGTTGGTCCCCAGCCCAGCATCACTGCATCACCTAGGAGCTTGTTAGAAATGCAAATTTTCAAGGCCTCCCACCAGGCTCTAGGAACTGTAGTCTTCATTTTAACAAGGTCTCCAGGGGATTCATATGTATGTGAAAGCTGGAAAATGAATAAGGAAGATTAAAGAAGAGTTGATGTTTTGAGTTGTGTTGTCCAAGAATACTGAAAGTACCATGGACTGCTAGAAGAATGAACAAGTGCAGCCAGAATGCTCCTTGGAAGTGAGAATGGCCAAACTTTGTCTCACCTACGTTGGCCATGTTGTCAGAAGGGATCATTTCCTGGAGAAGGATATCATGCCTGGCAAAATGGAGGGTCGGTGAAAAAGGGGAAGACCCTCAACAAGATGGATTGAATAGTGGCTGCAACAATGGGCTCAAGTATAGCAGGGATTGGGAGGATGATGCATGATCAGGCAGGGTTTCCTTCTATTGTACGTAGGGTCTCTATAAGTCAGAGCCAACTCAGTGGTACCTAACAACAACTACAACCAGGGATTCTTAACTAACTCATTAACTCTCTGCCATCAAGTCAATTCCTGCTGTTAGAGACCCCCAGTGGGTTTCCTGGGCTATAAATTTTTATGGAAGTAAAGTTTCAGAAGCACTGCCTGCAGCCAGAATTAAAAGATCTGCTCATCATCAGCAAGAAGCAATGAGCAATTAGGGCTGGGAAGCCTAGGGAAGGAGGCATGGCTTCATGAAGACAGTAAACAGGAACCAGCCTAGGACTGAATGTTTGTCTCAAGGATTTGCTG